AACTCAAACCATATATCCAATCACTTAACAATAGATCTTTGGTCAAAATTAATAGGCTCTGACTGTATTCGTGGTAGCACTTGTGAATACCACACCCAAATGCTTATTCAACTGTTCAACAACAACAACAACAACAACAACAACAAAGCTTGCCAGTCCCAAGCAAGTTGGGGTAGGCTAGAGTTGAAACCCACCAAGATCCCCTAGGCTTATTCAACTGTTATGCACAGTATTATTGCTGTGGTGGCTTATGCCTTGTCAGTGTCATAAATTAGTAAATTACTGTTGTGATTGTATTGTGGTGTCATTCTAAAATCCACTACATTTATCTTCTCAACGTGTGTATCTGGGTTAGCACATTGGATTTTTCTTTTTGTTGGTAGTTTCTTGTTATAAGTTGAGCATCCTTCTATCTACTTCATAGTTGGTTGCCTGTTTTTCCTTCATAGTCCATCAAAGCACTTGTGTGTTTCAAAATCAATGGATCCCTTAAAGTAAGTGCTGGGAATTGGCATTTTTTTTGCCATATGACAACGTGTCTTATTCCTGCTGTTGGGACTGACATTTTAACATTTTAACTTTGGTTATATGACACAGATTTTCTATAAAGCATCCAAGCATAAGTTTGACAATGATGCAGAATTTAAATCAAGGGCTCAACAAGGAGTTGTTCGGCTACAGGTGAGTGCATCATTTTGGATGTCGACTCTGGGAAGGTTGACATGTTCTCATCCAAGCGTTGTATTATCTGTAGGGAGGGGAGGAAAAATATCGAGAAGCATGGAAAAAGATTTGTGACATTAGCAGGAGCGAATTTGACTTGGTCTACAAGCGCCTAAATGTGGTGCTTGAAGAAAAGGTACGATGCATTGTAGTTGAAACATATATTTTTGATGGAAAGGTTGGTTGCCAACAGAATTTAGGTGTGAGGTGAAATTACTCTTATGGATATTTTGGGCTTTGATTCACATCTAAATTTTGGTTTCTAGCATTGTCTTGGCAGCATTCCTGTTCACATCAACTTCTACCATGTTCAATTTTTCACAGAAAAAGTACATGCATATCTGTGTTTTAACTGGAACATTTGTATCCCTTGTTAATCAAAGTTTGATGAATTGGTATTGTTGAATGTTTATGCTAGTTTGCCTCTTCAATGAAGCAGCTGACTCAGCCATTGGTTTAGGCTAATTAATGTAGCACCTTTCAGGGGGAGAGTTTCTATAATCCTTATATTCCTCAAGTGCTGGAGGAATTGAATAACAAAGGCTTGATCAAGGAGAGTGAGGGTGCCCGAGTTATATTTATTCAAGGTCATCAAATCCCTTTGATAGTGGTTAAGAGTGATGGTGGCTTCAACTATGCCTCAACAGACTTAGCTGCTCTTTGGTAAGTGCTTGTGCTTTTGAGGGTTCATTCAGTTGTTCTCTATTGAAGCAAACAGAATGTATTTGTGTAATTGATGCATCTAGTGTGGATTTAATATTTTTCTGTCCATGGTTTTATGGAGGTATCGGCTCAATGTTGAGCAGGCAGAATGGATCATATATGTGACAGATGTTGGTCAGCAGCAGCACTTTGACATGTTTTTCAGTGTAAGCACGGAGTGGCACTAAGGTGTTATCCATTTTCTGTGTTTTTATTTAATCTTCTACTGTCTTTCTACAGGCTGCAAAGATGGCTGGTTGGCTCCCAGATCCAAGTGAAAAGAAGTTTCCGAAAACAAGCCATGTTGGATTTGGTCTTGTTCTTGGTTCAGATGGCAAGCGGTTCCGAACCCGCAGTACTGAGGTTGTTCGATTGGTAGAGCTACTTGATGAGGCTAAATCTCGGAGCAAATCAGAACTACAACAACGGCTCAATGAAAATGGTAAATTGGACTATTTTGGAACCTTATTGTTATCCTTCAGGTAAATATGATCATTATTTTTGTTCAGGCAAAATTGTTGACTGGACGGATGAGGAATTAGAGCAAACTTCAGAGGCAGTTGGATATGGTGCTGTGAAGTATGTTCTGAAATGTCTTGTTTTAGAAAGATGCATCTCTTGATTTGACTAAGAAATAACTAAGTATTTTAGGGATAATCCAATTTATCATAATGAATTTCTGTAACTTTACTACAGGTATGCTGATCTCAAAAATAATCGGCTGACTAATTACACATTTAGTTTTGAACAGATGCTGAGCGATAAGGTAACAATCAAACTATTTTCATAGAATGCACTGTGGAAATTTTGTTGACATGATCATCATTATGCTCATGTTCATTCTTCCATGTGAACAGGGAAATACTGCTGTGTACCTTCAGTATGCACATGCTCGTATTTGTTCCATTATTCGGAAATCCAACAAGGATGTGGAAGAGCTGAAGATGGTAAGCTTTATGTTTTACTCGTGCAGATATCATTAATTTGGTGAAGGTTTAGCACCAATTCTCCTTGCTATCAGTCATGAGCTGAAAATTTCTTACTGTTTTCTTCTAGAGCGGAGCCATTTCTCTCGACCATCCAGATGAGCGCGTGTTGGGGCTATATCTTATCCGATTTGCAGAGGTACCTTTCCTCACTATTAGTGAACTTTATTTTATATAAGTTTGTGGAAGTCAGGATACCAATGCCAGTGTTGAGTCGCTGGTCAGTTCTGGTTTTGATCTGAAGAGCATACATGGTAATTATATGGCATATTTGGGAGTTGGGATCTTTTTGCTGTATGATTTTCCTTCTTGGATACTGCAAGAATGTTTTTTTTTCTTGTTGTATACTCCAAGAACAATTTTCTGTTTGGCTTCAGGTGCAATCTAGTTTAACTGAAATTACTACAATTTGCCTTTTCTGATTGCACTGCAATATGTTTCAGGTTGTTGAAGAGGCCTGCACGAATCTACTTCCAAATGTTGTGTGTGAATACTTGTACAATCTATCTGAAATGTTCACAAAATTCTATACCAACTGCCAGGTATACTTCTTTCCATTTGCATCACTCTTCCTCTCTTCAAATGAACCTTACATTGTTTCTTGAGTATTTACTATTTAGGTTAGCATCAGCTCATACAAACTGCAAAAAGACCCGTTTATTTCCATGCAACAGTAATACTGTGCTGATGACCTGATGCTATTTAACCACTCTCACTCTGCATTGATCCCAACAGGTGGTCGGGTCACCGGAGGAGACGAGCCGCTTGTTGCTTTGCCAAGCGACTGCTGTCGTCATGCGACAGTGCTTCAACCTGCTCGGGATCACACCAGTCTACAAGCTGTGATCGGCTGCATGTTTGATTTATACATTCGAACATCACTTTACGTAGAAACCCCAATTCATGATGGTTGCAGTTTTGGTCTTGTAACCTAGTTGAGGCAGCTAACATACTCAAAGTCAAAAGGTTGTAGCAAAATATGCTTGCAGAGTTTCTATTGATCCCTTCCATTATGTATTTTGTGTTTCGTCTTCCCTCGTGGCAGCTCATGAGCCAATGCTGTATGGCAAGCGTGCCGGTGGGCAAGTTTAGGTTATGATCCTAGACCGCAAACCCTAATCTTCCGTTGTCTACTCCACCCTTGTTCTGTGTGCTCCCCAGTTGAGGTAAAACTGGGTTTGGCTACTCCAAATTCTTCAGAAGACAACATGTTCACATTTTGGATTCTTCGAAAATATTCTCTATTCAAGTTGAAAATAGCGGATTGGGGTCATTGTCCTGACTAGAATGGGTCCTTTAACCTGCAAGAACCTGATGACTGGAGATTTCCCAGTGTTGAGTTACTGCTATGATATCTTTGTTCCTCCTAGTGTTGAATTGCTATTATGATTTCTGTTCCTCGTAGTGTTGGATTACTATGAAATAAAACAGCAAAAGCTAGTTGGAAGTTTCACCTGACCTGATGGCTATAACCTGAACCTGAACCTGAACCTGCTGGCTATCTGTACCAGGACCCGCACATATATAAAGGTTTGGCTTCATACTTTCTCATAGCATTTGCCAGCCACATTGCACATCTCTTTTGATGCTATCAATTCAGAATGGTCATTGTGTCACTGTAAACCACAGAAAGTTAGCACTTTCGTGATTTTTCTCTGGACAGAGGAAGCGGATGTTACAAGTGAGAAATGATATGACAAGTTGAATTTGAATAGCAAATGTTTGTGTAGCTATTCTGTCTGACTGAGGTAGTGATAACCGCGGTCTCCAGAGAATTATTGGTAGCTTGCTATGTACCCATATGCAATGAAACAACAATCTATAGTAAGCCATGAACGTTGATCACAATTTGCTATAAATAAATAAATAAATAAATTGATCACAATAGCAGCTGATTTTCTGGAGAAGTTCCCCTGTAAGTACTAACAAGTCTACTTGTAAGAACTAAGGAGTTATTTTGTGATAGTCGACCAGAATTCACTGAAACCATCTCGTGCTAATTTTTTAACTAAGAGGGTGATTAAGCAAATGTTGTCCACAATCGGTCAAATAGGCAACAAAATATAAGAAAGCTGTCCGCATTAAGAGAGAGAAGCGAAGGGAAATTGCCTAGCCTAGTAGTAAATCGTTGTCGAAGTGCATCTGTATGTTACTCTTTTTGAAGCGGATGACGAGGATTATCACAAAGTGGGTGGTAGCTTACGTAATCACACATGTCTAGTGACGCAAACCATCAGTCTTGGTAGTAAATAAAATATATTAACATAAACCTCGCGGATTATTAAGCTGACCAATTCACCTTTAGAAACATTACAAAGGCTTCCTCTGCCCCTATTCCTTCTCCGGCAACATACAAACTCTACCATAATTCTCCATGGTATGGAGAAACCACAAGGTTATAATCAATATGTGTGATCTTCCCGCCCACATTAGCATCGCCATCATTTCGTCATATGTAAGCTTAATCGAAAAGATACAGTAAACATCGCAAGGCGGTATTAACCTTGCGCAAGGACAGCTATGACCTCCCTGCTCGTTCAGTCTTCCATCCATGGTCGTCCTCCCCGTGAGGAGGGTGGTGCTACAGGCCTAGAGCGGCCTAGGTCTTTTTGAATTGCAGCAGCTCGGGCACTTGTACTGCTTTATACTCTCCGCCTTCGCGGGGGTGATCTTGACGCACTTTCCGTGGTACCACTTCTCGCACACATCGCACCCGATCCAGAACTCGTCTGCGCTGTATATTCCACCACATGTCCCGCACAAGGTTTCGCTGTGGTTACCGTCGTCTTCATCATAGCCCTCGTCAGGCTCCCTGGCATTATTTTCTAATCGTGGCTCGCTTGTTTGCTGGAGAGACAGATCAAGTTCAACATCATAACATGACAATAGAAGAGGTGGTAAAAACAAAGGCGGATTCTTGTTACCTTTGCTGACAGTTTATTTCTACCACTATTGTCAGTACGGATCTGTCCCTCTCCTTAGATTGTTTCACACCACGGAGCGACTTCAAACACAGTTGGCAGATCATTCATCATGCCAAACAAACACTTCCTGCTCAATTTGAAAACAAAAGCATTACACAAATGATTACCGCAATATCAACTTCTCTAATGGCAGTTAAATTATATAGATTGTAGTAACATCTGTTATTATTGTGTCATGGGCTACTGGATCCTGCTACAACAACCAAAAACAATTGCAGGGTGGAATATGAAATGTTTCACTTCCATTGTAGTTCAAGTCAAGGCTGCTTAATACCTTTTAACTTAGTATGATTGACTAGCCAAAGGTAACTGTAAGAACATTTTTTATGAAAAAAACAATGCCACAACTATAAGATTGCAAGTTGCAACTGGCCAATATTAGGGTGTGTTTGGGAGGGCAATATTAGGGTGTGTTTGGGAGGGCAATATTAGGGTGTGTTTGGGAGGGCTCCTCCCCAAAAGCTCCTCCTACTAAACCGTTTGGTAGGGCTCCTCCGGAGGAGCCAGAGAGGAGCCCTACCAAACGGGGCCTTAATGTTGTTTTAAGTGTCTTAATGTCTACAACTACAAGTGATTTTACTGGGTGACTAAGGTCCCAATACTCATCATTCTGTAAAGGAAATAATTCACTTGTACTCATCACTGACTGCTCTCAAAAAACCCTTGGTCTACAACAAAGATTATTCAAATGAAGAATGTATCATTGGGAAAGAACAAATGAAGTGCTGGAAATATACCAAGCTACCCTACATATTTTTAAAATCATGAAGTTTAGCTAAACATAAATTTAATTTGGCAACGTTGCACAGGAGTTGAGCAGTTGGAGCTATATACTATTTACGAAAGTACTTGAGTGCACAGCATTGTCCCAAAGTCCTCAAAAGATATAAAGCAGTAAGAGCAAACTAGCTTGCACATGTGAAGATGAAAACACTTAACTCATTAAATATTCACGGAAAATGTTGCCTCAAACAAATCTATAAAATATTAGCAGTTTGACAAGAAGTCCAAAAGTTAAATAATGTCAATGTATCTGGAGTACAAACTAAAAGCAAGTGTACAAATGGAACTAGTAAGCAAAGCAATTTAAGGATGAGCTGCTTTTGCTCCAAACAAACTTCAGTTACCAACTCCATATATGATACCACCACCTTTCCAGATTTTAATCAGAAATCAGCTAATTCATAGGACAATAAATTTGGAGATACATAAGAAAATGGAACCTATTCCAAACAACCTACATGAGGATGTATTATATGACATCAAGTCCAAACAATTTTCAGTCAGTATCCATGTCCTTTACACAAAATGGAGTATGCATTCAGGTTGTATAGAAAGGTGGTGATTACATGTGCAATGATTTTGATTATAAGAAACAATACAATATGTTGTCAGGTACCTAATAGTTGTGTCTCTTGTTTAGTAATCTGTAGTCATTATATATCATAGCAATGAATAATCAGGAGGGCTTGCTCTAGTTCTAGAAGTGGTTATTGAATATGGGAAAATACATATATTATAAGACAGATTTCATACAATTGTACCCCCCCCCAACCTCAAAAAAAAAAACTCGTCTCTCCCTATACTCATCATCAATCTTTTTTTCCACTGTTGGAGACTAACAAATGATCTTAACAATGAGCAATTAACTCAGTCTAGCATGGGAGATACTGCAGTGCTGCACATTTTCAAACCACAGGATAATCTTGTCAAATCATACTAGTTAGCAGTTAGTCCAGATTTGGCCTGTGCCTCTTACTAATCCCTCTTTTCTTTTTTGCACTTTCCTATGGCTCTTGCTGGGTTCCATCTCTAGCCTGTGCCAGCCTGCTCGGGACTAAAAGGCTGGCCACGGTCATCAATAGCTACTTCGGCAGAAATATTAGTACAAGCTTGAAGTAGAGTACTTAAGCAAACCACAAAATCAGAACCATCCACCAAATCCAAATGTAAGCACAATCTCAGTGAGTAACAAGTGGAAGCCAGAAGAGATCGTAATCATGAATTCACACTTGCATGCTTTTTAACTAAAAAGTTTGTAAGTAACTAAGTATAACCATCACAGAAAAAGTTTCAAAGCCTTGAAGTCAGAGCAAGAAGTCTTTCAGGAATAACAAGCTGGAAATTTCTCACATGGAGGTATCTTCATATCTTTATGCTGCAATAACTTATATACATGATGGAAGAAATTCATTCCCAAAAATGGAATCTACTTAAAACGACAGAACAGGCTTTAAGCATTTGAATATTTCTGAGGCATATTTAGTTCAGCAAAATATGAACATTCTGATGACAATGAAGGGTCTCCACTAAGCTTTCCACATGAATAAACAACACTAATTTTCATTAGGGCAGTATTAACATCTTAGGGAAGAATAAAACTTCAGTTCACACACACATGCTCAGAAGTTTACATCAAACTAACTACAGCACAGATAAACAAATATCCTCCCCAACTTCAGCAAAATATTGCTTTATAAGCTAATATAACTCAGTAATTCGCATGATTATAGTAGACAATTCATCGGCACAGCTCCTTAAATTGCTACATGGGAACAAACTCATTTGCTCAACAGAGCAGCTCCTTAAATTGCTACATGGGAACAAACTCATTTGCTTTCTAAATCGAAAATTGGCAAATTCCACGAAACCAGAAGGCCCAAATCTGAACAGTTACTTGTCAAATCAAATGTTGGATCCGAACACGTCAGCACCAGGACATGCATACAGAGGGCACAACACACCTTGCATACCCTGACATCCACTTCAACTCACAGAATACTCCTGAGACAGCCTCAGCACATGTATATGCATGTCATATGTGTCAATGAGCAGACAGCCCACACCAAGAGGAGCAAGCGACCGCAACAAGGCAAGCATCGGACCTTGAGAAACAGAGGCGAAATTGGGAGATGGAGGAGGAATGGTGTGGTACCGATCATTGCGGTTGAGCCGCGCGGCGTAGTAGAATGCGACGGAGACGAGCCACGAGTCGGAGTGGACGGCGACGAGCGCGAGCCAGTCGCGACGGTTCATCCCGTCGCGCGCGAAGTTGATCCCGAGCGCCGGCTCCGGCAGCTCCGTGGGCACCTCCTCCGCCGGCAGCGCCACCTCCCACGCTTCGTTCGCGTACCCGTACAGGCACAGGTTCTCCTTCTCTACCGACACCCAACCCCAACCAAACACCGCATCAGCTCGCACCCAGATCGAATCGAAGGCCAGAGATCGCGAGGGGAAGGAGACTGACCTGGATCGCACAGCGCGTAGAACTCCTCGACGTCTGCGAAGCGAGAGGAGGGGAGGGGCTAGAGTTAGAGCTGGAACCTTCACAAGCGTGGCGGGAAGCAGGAGCCCCGGGGGCGTACCGTGGGTGAGGGCGCGGAGGATGGCGGAGCGGCGGGCGCGGTAGTCCTTGTAGATGTCGTCGACGGAGCGGGGAGCGGAGCCGCTCCCGGCGCCGGCGCGGCGGTAGGAGGCGTCCATCGGCCGGGGGCGGCGCGTGTGCGTCTGATCTCCGGCGAGAGCGAGACCGCAGGAGGGAAGGGAGGAGATGACTGATCGCGATGCGGTCGGGAGCCGAGCGACGATGATAGTACAGCAGGACGAGCGAGCCCCTGCGGATGTCTAGATTTTATTTTGTCCTACGATGGAAGCAAACCTCATCATCTATTTAAAGTCTACGAGAGCTTGGACGATTTTTTTTTTGGTTCATAATCACGGGAGCTAAATCAAGTCGGAGAATGTTTGGTGGGATCACAAATTCACAATCATATTAGGATCTTATTAAGGATAAAAGCCACAAAGGTACAGATGGTATTGTGACCGGAATAGTAAAATCAGGCTCCTTATTAATCCATATATATCATAAAGTCGTAAAGTCATACGGCAAGACGATTAAGGACCCTTTTCACTTAAATTTGGCCGCTGCTAATATTGATTCGTTGTAAAAAAATACTGTTGGAGCAGTGGTTTGATTCTTCGTTCAAGCGCGAACGGTAAATGTCAAGCTTTTTTTTTTGTCATCTAGCGCAGTTTGAGAGGGAACTCAATCTATGAGACTGCAATATTCTTGGATCTAGTATTGGCTCTACATGAAGACTCTTCTATTTGCGTGTGGCACATATGGTTTGCAAGGCGTTTGGTCGTCTACTGATCTTGTATGGTAACAAACTTTTTGTCATCCAACGACATTACAAGAGGAAATTCTTTCCAAGAGATTATAATTTTCTTGCATATAGAAGGAAATAAATATGGTGAATGTCGGTGTTTCGAATAAACACCAACAAGTAATTTTATATTTGTTGCGTGTTGGGTCCGGATGGTGTGCTAAAAGACACAACGTTTATACTGGTTCGGACAGAATATCCCTACGTCCAGTTTGCTGCTGCTCGTGTTATTAGCACTGAAAAAGGTTCGTAGTAGGGGTACAAACGGTCGAGAGAGAGACAGGTCCCAAGTCTCTAATGTAAAGATCAAAATGATGCCAAGAGCTCGGTTGCTGCTCAGCTGTGTGTTATGTGATGCGTTATGTGTTGGATTGATCCATCTTCTTAGTGGGGTGTCATACCTTCCCTTTTATAGATCAAGGGGGAGCAGAGGTTACAGATGGAAGAAAGAAGAAAAACCAGAGGCCAAGAAGGTCATTCGAAGGTGCCGGGTCTTTCTTTTCCTCTGAGCCAGCCCCACTGATATAGCAGATGGTGCCAGGGATAGCACGTTCGCTGATCTTGATAGGGCCGTGCTCTGGCTTCGTTCAGCAAGTGGTCACGTCCCATCCTGCCCCGGCGGGCGGCGCGACGCACCGGGGTGCCGAGCCACGACTCTACGGGGAGCAGACGGGGAAGTGACCATATGTTGGTTACTATAGATGATGTGAGTTCCCTCCTACATCGTAGTGGTTGTCGTATGCTTATGTCAGGATCCACGTCCGAGGGCTGATGGCGGCGCCCACAACACTGTAAGATAAAAGTCGGTGCCTATAACACTGTTCGGGCTCTGTCATGCCTGTAAGGGCTTAAAGTGCCCGTCTCGTCATATCCTGACGGTACTTTCCTGCAGGCATGCAGGGTATGGTCCTCGGTACTGCGGTTGACTTGAGTGTCCTGTCTTACCATGTGCTCGTCATTATGAAGGAGCAGGGTGCAGACGTTGGGCGAGGCAGAGCTAGTCTCGGGACGTCGGGCGAGGCAGAGCTAGCCCTCTGACGTCGGGCGAGGTGGAGCAAGCCCTCGGGCGTCGGGAAAGGCGGAGCCTGCCCTGGGACGTCGGGCGAGGCTAAGCCCAACCCTCGGGGGTAGGGCGAGGCGGAGCCAGTCCCTGGTCGTCGGGCGAGGCGGAGCCAACCCTCGGATGTCGGGCGAGGCAGAGCCAGCCCTCAGTCGTCGGGCGAGGCAGAGTTTGCCCCTAGACATCGGGCGAGGCGGAGTCCAGCCCTCGGGAGTCAGGCGAGGCGGAGCCAATCCCTTAGGGGCTGGGCGAGGCGCAGCCAACCTTCGATCATATGGGCAAGAAGTGTAGTTGCGTTCTTTATCTGTTAATAACCATCAACATTTGATGGTTACTAGCTCCACCTCTTTGGGTACCCCAGTATTTGGTCCCCGACAGTAGCCCCCGAGCCCCTGGGTGATTCGGATAGAATCGCCCAGGGGGTGATTTGACTTGTCGAGGGTGGCGTGGCCCCGGGTGACGGGTAGAATGTAGAATCCAGAGCCCCGGGTGATTCGGATAGAATCGCCTGTAGGTGATTTGACTTGCCGGAGGTGTGCAACATTAATCTTTTCTACGCACTTTGTCCTGATAGAATCGCCTAGGGGTGATTTGACTTGTCGAGGTGCGCGGCGAGCACGCTTAACCTTGGAGTTCTGATAGAATCGGCCGTGGGGTGATTTGACTTGTCGAGAGGAGTGCGCGCTGGCGCTATTAAGCTCGAGTATGGGGTGTATCCCCGAGCCCCGGGTGATTCGGATAGAATCGCCTGGGGTGATTTGACTTGCCACGGAGGGTGTCTAGTGTGAGCAGCACCTGACAGTGTAGCCCCCAAGCCCCTGGGTGATTCGGATAGAATCGCTGTAACGTCTCGCCTCCTCGAGGCCAGGCCCGCTTACATCTGATAGCTTTCCTAGGACATAGACTGCCCTCACAGACCAACATCAATCTTTTCTACGCACTTTGTCCTCACTCATGCGCTCCCGGGAAGAACTTTCCGGTCGGTCACCCATCGCTCCAGGCCAAGCACGCTTAACCTTGGAGTTCTCAAGAGATGGGCTTTCAGAAAAGAAGTTGCAACTTATTGGTACGAGTATCCTATTAAGCTCTGAGCCGGGTTGTTACATCCCCACCCCCTTAGGAGACCGACGTCCTCGTCGGTCAACCCCAGGCCAGGAACATCCCCTCTTGGCCACGTTCGTGTGTCTAGTGTCAGCGCATGTGCCATGCTAGGTGACCACGCCGGATCCACACCAGCCATGCGCACCATGCCTGCGCAACTACGACACACGCACCCGTGAAACCGCAAGGGTCGGCTCCGATACCATTCTATAACGTCCCGCCTCCTCGAGGCCAGGCCCGCTTACATCTCGATAGCTTTCCTAGGACATAGATCGCCCTCACAGACCAACACCAATCTTTTCTACGCACTTTGTCCTCTCACTTCATGCGCCCGGGAAGAACTTCCCGGTCGGTCACCCATCGCTCCGGTGCCAAGCATGCTTAACCTTAGAGTTCTCAAGAGATGGGCTTCGTAAAAGAAGTTGCAACTTGTTGATACAGTATCCTATTAATCCTATTAAGCCCCGAAAGGGTGTTACAATCATTTCGAGGGGTAATTCGGACCCTTCGCGGGTATGGCTGTGAGATTTGGTGTTTTGGCAACTGGATAGTTTAAAGGGAACCCTGGTATCCCATTCGCGGGGATTCATCCAGGGTCAACCCGGTTGAGACTTGATCGCGGATCGAGACTCCCTTGAGGCTCATGCGCCTGAGTTTTGGCCGCTCGCGGGCCCATCCCTCGTTGGGACGACCGTCGAAACTATTGGACCAGCCCTCGAACTCCTAGGCCTAGGTGGGCCGGAGAAATGCTTTTTGACCAGTATCCCCTCTATGGGAAAAGAGTCCTAGTCTGCCAGGGAAGGCGAAATGTCCGGCGCGACTTTGATGGGAAAGGATAGGGATCGTGGGCGCATATCCCGCAACGTGACGTGGTGGTGTATCGTGGCAGGCACAGAGATCTAGGTGGACGGTTGCCCTTCTCGCATCCATCGCCCCTATAAAACCTAGGGGTTCGCCCCCAGGAATCTATACTTTGCCTCCTCGTCTTTGCATCTATAGCCTCCGCCGCCAATCGCTTGAGCCTCCCGCACCCACATCGCAACCGCCGTCAAGCTCGCATCCAACCACCCCCATCGTCTAATGGAGCAGTGGTGTAGATCCGATGTAACCCTCCAGCGCCTGCAGTGGCGGCTGCCCAGCAATGAAGACGCGCCGTCACTGCCCGAAGGCTACGTTGTGTCCTTCGCTCACTTTCACGAGTGAGGATTCATCACCCCCGCCCACAAGTTCCTTCGGGGGCTGCTGAATTACTACAAGGTGGAGCTACAACACTGTCGATGTGGGACCCATGGGATACCCCGCAAGGAAGAGAGAAGATCTAGTCTAACTAGGTCTCTTTTCATGTAATCTTAGTAGTAGTATTATTCTGTAATTCTACTAGGAACTCTCATTGTAAATCGACTAGGACTCTGACCTCCTGACTATATAAAGGAGGATAGGGTTCCTAGAAAGGTGACTGGAACTTTTTACAATAACACACAATCAATCCAACGCAAGGCTAACGCCGACTGGACGTAGGGCTATTACTGGATCACGATCGAGGGCCCGAACCAGGATAAATCGACTGTCTCTTGCGTTTACCGTCGAGTTCCGCATATGCTGAAGCCCGAACATACTGCCTCGGGGACCCCATGGCAGGCTATCGGTGGTCAAACATCGACAGCTGCGTGCGCCAGGTAGGGGCTTTCGGCGAATTTGCATCCGAGAGCTCGATGGACCTCGACAACATGATCTTCTCGACGGGATCAACCTTCATCTTCGGCTCGTGGATCTGTGAGACTGGCGACAATGGCAAGCTCCAAAGCCGTCTCCTCAAAGATTCGGTTCACCAGGAAGACTTTTCTATTTCGGCAACGAAGACAGATCAAATCACTGGAAGATTCGCGCGGCTTGTGATGTTCGATTCAACTCAGGTTTCGCGGCTTTGCGCATCCGACTCAAACTTAGGCTCCGCATCCGAGATGGAGTCTGACCCGAGTTCTTTCGAGAATCCGAGTTCTTTTCCGATGGGGCTCTAGAATGCGGCCTCGGCATATCAAGAATACAACTCGAAGAACACTTAGAGTCTTTTCAAGAAGTCAGGTCCTTTTCCGTTTGGACTCGACAAAATGGCAAAGTCTTATCAGGCACGGCTGGAAGGATCCCTCGATCCGGTG